TCTGCATCTACATCTACATATATATATATATATATTATATAGCTACATAGATTTGCACTGCTAGAAAGAGCAACAGAAACGCATTACCGCTTAATTTTGTTTAATTGAGCAAACAGACAAACGAATTTCTTTGTTTGTCCTCATGCATCCCCAAGCAGCAACAAAAACAAAAAGAAGCTGTCTCCTCCTCTCCAACACCAAACAAAAATCTTACACTTGCACGAGAATTAACTGCTAGAAATATCCTTTACAGATATGCACATATATATATATATATATATTACGTAGTCTCGTTTCTTGCTGCCTGAGGAGATTCTGTGTTGTTATTTCTGTCTCCTCTTTGTTATCTATGTATGCAAATACACACGTAGAACCCCCAGCATACACAAAATGCATGCAGCAGGGCGTATCCGTTGCAGCTTGAGCTGCAGCTATAGCTTCAGGTGCAGGCGCAGCTGTAGCTGCACGCCTGTCACAGTTTGCATGCGTTTTTGCTGTATTTATTGCAGCTATATGCAAACAGATACTCCTTCTTCCTCAGTCTGCTGGAGATTCCACCTCATAAATCCAATACCACTGTCTGCCTATTACCTTCACAGTCATCGCCGTGTACACCGCCTCATCCACCATATACAACATCGTGAATACAGGAACTGAGGAAAAACGCAAACAGAATATGCGATAAACAAAAACCTGAAGAAAAGATGCAGATAAATTTCAAGGCTTTACCAGTCTATAAAGTTTAGGGATTGAATTCATAGAGGTGAAAACGCAAAAATATATCATTTGTATTAATGCTGTAATACAAATAACTTCTTTCAAAATGAAATAAACAACACGGAGGGTTGCTGCGGTGTGTGTGTGCACAACTGCCTATACACCCGAAATGGTAAGGCATATAGGTGGGGGAAACTGGGTTGAAAATGGAGGGAAAAAGAGGAAAAAGAAAGAAATTCAAATGACTTACTCGTAAGAGACCAAATAATAAACGTTGGGACCCAGAAGAAGAGGAATTCTGCCTTCATCAGCAAATCATGATGGCCGTACACATTCATGCGTCTCCTCGGGAAAAAAGGAATATTCAGCTGAACACGCAAATCAAGGAGTGTAAAACAACAAAAAACAAATATTAAATCAAAAACATACGCAAAATACCCACCAAATTCATCTCGCCGGCCCTCAACTGCAAGCAGCATCCACTATGAAACACAGAAGAAACAAAAGAAAACATACTACTGTTCCTCGCTCTCCAAGTTTGAGATTTGCATTAAACTATTGAGCAAAGTCTTCTCTATTTTCTGCAATTAAACAAACTTTTCCCTATCACTTCTTCTGCTATACCGAAAATGCTGCAGCATATTATACCCTCTTCATTCATTCATTTCCCTAATCGTCATTTATTGTTGTTTGAACGCAAATCATTCGGCGCCACCATTCTCATGAAAGGAGCAAAAAGACAAAGGCCAAGTGTGTCTAGATTCAGCGGACAGAAGAAAGAAGCGGAATACAATCTGCCGCCTAGGGTTTAGGGTTTAGGGTTTAGGGATCAGGGCTTCAGCGCCCACCTGGTGAATGCAGAATAGTTCAACGAGGGATCTGGGTTCGACGCCTTTGATCATCTTCTTTCCGTCAACGGAAACGATCTGTTGCTTAGGAACAGGTGAATAAACATCTTCAAAATGAAAAGTATGGGGTGTAATCGGAAAAGTATATGTGCCGTCAGGGTTTAGGAATTTCCTTGGGTCGCCATGATGCGAATGATCCTGAGGCATGTTATAAAGGCCCTTTGGTTCTTCTCCATGCTCTAAATGATGAAGATCGTCAGCTTTAGCTTTATTTAGTGGTGTCTGTTGAGAAGGAGAGAGAGAAGAAAAGGCTCTCGCGGGGAAACAGGGAGTGAAACGCCGAGTGAGCAAACCCTGAGATAGGGGGGAAAATGGACGAAAAAGAGAATAATTCATCTTCGGTAGATATTAAAACATAAAATTATCTTAATTATTTACTAATATCGAGAGAATATACGAAAAACATACAACAAAAACACAAATTCAACTTCCGCTGCCCATCTCAACGACCGCAAGCAGCAGCGGCAAACTGCTGCTTCCCTCGCTTCTTCTTTTTCTCCTCTCCACTAAAAATGAAATGCAGCAAATGGAATTTCGGGTATTTGCAGTTTATCAAACAGCGTAGAGCAAACAAAAACGCGAAAACTAAACCAAACCAGCCGTATCAGCACAGCAAGCCCCAAGCTGCGGCGACGACTGTCCACTAGAATAAAAGTGATTAGATCAATGAAATAAATAATTTAAGCGTAATTTGGGATTTCTTTTTCTTTTTTATAATTTAATTTAGGTTTTTTCTTGCAGCTGATAACGCATCCATAGTAAAGCAGCTTCACCTTGCTGTGTTTCATGTTGCATGTTCCTCCGATTCGACAACCACAGACGTCTTGTCTGTTAATTCTTAAATTTTTAATCTAATTTACTTCCTATCTTGTTCATCAGGGGGCTTTGTGCATGGAAAAACAAACGCAGTATCTCTTATTCCCCTACACGCTATTCAAAAGTTGGGTTGTACTAAGACAGTCCACAACTTTAGGTATAAGATAATAAACATACTTCACAAAAAGAAGCATTAAAGCTTCTTCCAAGTCTCCAGATGTACTGAGCGCAGTTGTCGAAGTGCTTGGGGCTGATTATGATAAGGATAGGAGATATTAGCGTGTTCACAGTGAAGTTGATGGATGCACCTCTATCTGTCTGCAAGCTGCCTACTAAGGTCCAAGTAAATGTTTAGCAGCTATCTACAGTGATAGTGAATGCAGCAATATGGAGCTTGATTACTCTTGCACGTGGGGCCTCCTTGCAACAGCAGTTGTAGGGAGATTAGCTGCAGCTAATGATTGACTTGTCCGCTCTTTCCTCTCTACACCAGCATCAGTACTTTAGCCGCTATGTTCAAGTCGCTTCAGATAGAAGAGGAGGTTAGAGGCTTTTAATAAAGTATTTCCTCTAAGTCTTTTGCGTGACAAACAATCACCACAATCACGGCCCATCGCTACAGAGGCAGGCTCCTGCTGTAACTGTTGCTAAAAGACAACTCATGCATGCATGCGCAAGTCTACATATATATGTATATATATATATATATATATGCTATAGACAATGTAGAGGACTCTATTGAATGATTCTTCACCGGCACTCAGGCAATATATATATTGTTCATCTGCATGCAAGCTGGAATATATATACATATATATATAATATAAAGTTGAGACACCGCAGGCTGCACTCCTAGCTAGAAACTCATTCAACGTGCATTCAGAAGAAACAAAAGGAATAAGTTCTCTATTTTTTCACTCACGAAGTCTTTCATGCAGCGAAATATGTTGAACTCCTGCAGCAATTTAAAAATAAATCAACGAAGAAAATTAGCGTTCATATATCTTTAAGATAAGCAAGGTGTGTATACCAACTAAATAATGCTTTATTTTCTTTTAAAGTCCTTTTTAGTACTGTGAATATCTTTGAACAAACCTAGAAGACTTCCCAAGTCAATGAAATGGAGAGGAGATGCATAGAGTTGCTCAAGCGAAGTTAGCCGCATTAATTTAATATTTAAGTTGTTCTCTTTTTAATACAAATTAATATCATTTGAATGAAGGCTAACAAAGGAAGGAGCTTCTCTCAGTCTCTTGCAAACTAGAAAGGGTATTTCAAGCAAGTTCAAATAAAATTTTCTGATTTTTTGCACTTGTTCTGCTTTAGTTATACTATCTCATTCTACTGTTAGAATTTAATTGTCTTTGTCTATATTCTTCTTCTATTGTCTGATTCTCCTGTTAGAATTCAGTTGTCTTTGTCTATATTAAAGGCGACAGCACAGGCTAGAGAAGCTCCTTCTTAGTGAAGGGAGAGGTATGAAAAGTATAAAAAGTATTGACATGAATGTTTGTATGCTTGGGAAGCAAAGTAGAGGAGCTCAGTTATAATAACATCAATACAGATGAATTAATGCATAGGAGCTTAAGCTGCCCCAGAGTATGTAAAGATATAATGCAAAAACAAGAAAAATAAGCCCTACGGTGCTTGAACATGCAAGAAGGAGAACAAAAGAAGAGATAGATTCATCATTTATTTAATAAACAAATGACAATAAAGGTATTTGCAGTACAATATGAATACAGCTAGATGTAAACAAATAAAAGGAATTAACTACTATTCGATAAGGATCTTAAAAGAAAAGGTGATATGCATTTAATAAATAAATGTTAATAAAAGGAAACACCGTTAATATATATGTATATATATATGTATATATACATATATATATATATATATATATATATATATATATAT